TAATCGAATCGAATTCAGATAATTTGATTATCTAAGAGGTCGAATTCGGATATGACTTGATTCGATTGGATAAATATTTGAATTCGATCGATTATTTAATTTTTATATATAATATATAAAATTTTTAAATATTTTATATAATTTATATATATAATAATAAGTTATATAAATAATAATAAGTTATATAAATAATTTTTATATTTACTAATTACCTAAAATGATTAATTAGTCAAACTTAAACCAAATCAAGTATTCAATATTTAATCAATTCGAATTCAAATATTTAATCAGATTCTAATTCAAATATTAATTTTCAATATCTGTCGCATATCGAATAGAATCGGGATATCAAATTTTTATTCGGATTCGAATTTGATCCGTTTACACGCTACTGATCACACATTAGAGACAGTAGAAAGAGATCTATGACTATTGCCACTGTGTCTGTTGTCGCCACCGTTGCGTTGTCGTCATAATCGCCGGTTGGTGAAGTGAAATAATCCTCTTCCTCCTCTTCTTTCTTCTTCTCTTCCCCCTCCTCTTCTTTCTTCTCTCTTCGCTAGCGATGTCTAGAGTTCCTCCGTCTTTCTCTGCCAGCAACCTTTTTTTTTTTCTTGTTCATCTTCTTCTTGGTCTCGACATCGAACAACAACAACGATTTTCTCCCCCTTCCAACCTTGTCTCTGTTTAAATCATTCTTAGGGTTTTTTGGTTATGCTGCAATTTTTCTAGAGATCTCTCGCTCATACGCATAGAAAGCTCCTTATAGGGCAGAGGAGGTTCTGTCTTAATTACAGTGTTTGAATCTCTAATTGATTTTTCCTTCAAAAATTGGTTCTTCAAGACAAAAAGCTCGCCTTATCAAGACAAAGAAGTTCTCTTCGATTCGCCGCTAGTTTCATATTTCTCTTTCTGTGGTGTTATCTCTTGTTGGTACAGTCTTTGGGAACTGATCTGGTGTTGACGGAGAGGAATCTCTCTTTGTTACTCGGGAGCTCAAAGGAGGGTCTCTCTGTGTCCCTTCTTCCTGGTTTCCGTCCTCTGTTTTTCTCGGCCACCGCTGCAACTCTTAGAAACGGTGATCTTTCCTCTATCTTCTCCAGCGACTTTGCCTTCTTCCTTCTTCTCTTCCCCTCTGATCACTGGCTATGCTATGCGAATAGATCGACCGAGAACCCACTTCAAATCCGGAACCAAGATCCTCCTATGCGAATAGATTGCCCTTTTAATTTGTGTTGAATCATCTCAGATGTATAGAAGGATTGCTGAAACCCCTTGGTTCAATTGGAACTCGAAACTGGTCGTGAGTGTCATTGCTTATCTGGATAAGCAAGGACAGCCTGAAGAAGCCGAAGCCTTGATTTCTGAATCTGTCCAGAAACTAGGGTTTCAAGAGCGAGATGTCGCTCTCTTCTACTGCGACCTGATTGATTCTTACCATAAACAAAGATCAAGGATTGGTGTTTTCGAGTCTTACGCTCGTCTAAAGCAACTTTTTTCGGACTCTAGTTCTTCTTTGAGTCAACGTGCTTACGAAACGATGTTTGTAGCCTTTGTGCGGTGGATCTACCTCATGATGCGGAGAACATGGTCGAAGAAATGACAATTCCAAGATTCAAACCCTCTGCTTTTGAGTTCAGGTCTCTGGTGACTGGATACGGTAGATTAGGATTCAAACCCTCTGATTTTTCTTCAGAGGGTTAATCATCGTTTTCTCTTCACCACATAGTGGAACTTCTAGGCTTTCATTGGCAGATCGGCAGGAGGTGCCGATGTCTCTCTTGAAGAAGACAAGAAAGAAGGAGAAGAAGAAGCATGAGGTCGAGAAAGGTGAATAGTGTTTTTCTCATAATTGTTTGAATATTTATTATAAGGGTATTATGGAAATTAAAAGATATTGTAACAACGGATTTTGGATAAATTAACGGAAGGGAGTCTTTGTCTCACAGTCATAGTATAGGGGGGTCTTTATCATAAAACAAAGTACAGAGGGTCTTTGTCACAGACCCCATACCAATAACAATCCAAAAGTTGCCCTAATAATCCAAACTGCCTGAATCATTCAACACGAATGGTCCAACTTTGGTCCAAAAGCCAATGACCACAACAGTTCCATTTTCAGATCGGTTTTAAAACCTTGCTTTATAGGCTATATAAGTGGGGTAATCACTAGGCCTAGCCTAAATGATCACCGATACAGCCAAAATTGATGTCCACTTAGAAAATGCCACGTGGCATGGAATTAGGAGGCATGCTGTAGGTAGCGAACCAGCTAGCAGAAGGTTGGCCTTTCCACGGCTGACCTGCCAACACGAGCCGACCCGGAACGGATGATCTCTAATTCAACTTGGTCCATCTCATGAACAAGCTGGGCCGGCCGGGTGACTCTACAACCAGTCAAATGCCGCCTCTTTCGGCCAAACTAACTTGATCAACTAAACGTGCATGGTTGAGTTGATCAAACCAGCAGTACTACTGCTACCACATGCATTTGTGGGAGGCTATTCACAAATCACAATTAATAATTAATTGACCACATGTGCATAATGTGTTGACTGCGAGCACGATAGGTGGGTTGAACCACTTACCACGTGTGGGTGATATGTCCTTTCTTTTTCTAGGATGAACATCCCTCTTTCCAGCTCTCCCGTCATTCCTATTGTACACACACACACCTTATGCAAATTTATTTGCATTGCAAGTTGCAACCAAACACAGCCTAAATGCCAAATGTGCAGCCTTAGATTGAAGTAATGTTTGGTGAAAATTGCTTTTCCATGAAAACTGACTTATCCAAAGCGGTTCAACGAAAGCAACTCACAACTCACCAAAACTTGAGGCCCCTTCATTCCAATCTGGCCCTTAGAATCGGTCCAACTTTTGCCTTTTTTCGTCAAAGGAACAAAGAGGACATTACACGTTAAGGGCGCTTTGGTAATTAAAAAATTATTCATTCTCATCCCATCCTTTATGCTTCCTTCTATTAATCGTTGTATCGACAAAACTCAAATGGGCCTCTGAATGGAGACGAGCATAGACAGTTTCGCTGGCATTTCCTTTGTCATGACCCACTTTTCAAAGTTGCGTGTTTCTTTCCTATTGGATGCCTTCGAACCAATAAATCCGAAATCTTTCGCCTTTTATGATACACAATGCAGCGACCTTAAAATGCTCCTTCCCATTATTAACTGTTGGATTGGAATCTTATGCTTGGTATTAGATGGATTACAATCTGACGGTTACTTTTGTACTGACTAAAATACCCCTTCCTGAGCACTTTTTTTACGCGCTTTTATCCAAAGATAAAAGACAAAAGCCAGCCAGCTCATGTTCGAACTTCGAACATCTAACCTCACAACTCACATAAGCGGTGGCCATTTCCAATTTCCCGCTTATAAAAACCAAGTGAACCAACCCAATGCTCTGCGCAACAAATGATTTATTGCTTTCCAATTATTAGGGTAAACGAACGGCACCTAACTCGAATTGATTTTCCGGCGATCGGCGAAATGAAACACGCTTCAGACCTGCGGCGGAGGAAGAAGACACCGGAGCGGCGAGTGAGAGAGATAGAGGTTTTAATCTACTCAGCCCAGAACCTGAAGGACGTAAAGCATGTTACGAGAATGAGAGCATACGCGGTGGTCTACGTGGAGCGGGAGTTCGCCGAGAGGACGGACGTAGACGAGGAGGGAGGCGTGAACCCGACGTGGAACGCGGTGGTAAAGGTGAGGTTTCACGAGGATTTGCTCGAGAATGAGGTCATGGCGGCCCTGAACGTTGATATCTACGCGCACGGGCATGCCAGGGAGAAGCTGGTGGGGAGTGCCAGGGTGTTGCTCTGTAACGTGCTCAAGGGCGGCGATGCTTCAGAGCCGTTGGATAATCCAATCCAGTGCATGGCAATTCAAGTTTGGAGGCAGTCAGGGCGGCCGCAAGGGCTGCTCAACCTGTGGGTTCCGCCCACCGGAAAGTTTCTAATTAGGCGCGACTCGTTGTCTTTCAGCGTGAAGGATGAGGTGGACAAGGAGGTTTCGCCGCCGCACGTGGCGGAGGAGAATACCGAAGAGGCCAAGAGTGAGACTTGAGAGAGAGAGAGAGAGAGAAGGGGGGGGGGTATTTCTCATGTCTGGTTCTCTGGTCACATTACTGCTCGTTAGTGCCATTAAAACAAAAGCGTATGTTATTAGCCAATTGGTGCATTTTTATCTCGCCTTTTGTCAAAATTGTTGATAATCAGGATTCAGGAGTGCACGTCTGCACGAAACAACGCATCTTGGCATTTTGGAGGATGGGAGGGACGATAAAGTAAATAACGAAATATGGGTATAATCGAGTTGAATGGTTAATTAATTATTTAATTATTTGTAATTGAGTCCTTGTTGTTAAATATATATTATACGTACATTCCTATTTTACTATCGAATTGACTCCGTGGCCCAATGGATAAGGCGCTGGTCTACGGAACCAGAGATTCTGGGTTCGATCCCCAGCGGAGTCGGATCATCATTCATTTTACCTTTTAGAATTCAATACTGTTTTACCTTTTTATGCTCCGTGCTGGGAAACGATCAAACGACTGTGAAAATTCTATACTGTTTCATTTTTCATTTCTTTACCCATCAAAATCTGCTGTTTGGAAGGTTGAGGATAAAATCCTGTTGTCACCTGTGAAATTGAAGCCTTTTGTTTGTAGGTGTTCGACCGGATTTTGCTATGACTGAAGCCGATCTCAAACAACTTTCAGAACGTTGGGAGCTAAAATTCCTGTAGCTTCAATGAATCAATGTCAATTCCTTAGCTTTGTTTCTTTCTTTGGTGTAAATTAAAAAGTATGAACAAGCCTACCCAGAAAAGATATGATCAAGGAACATTGGCAAGCCAGAGAAAGAATAAGAAACAACATTTTAATGTCAATTTCCTTCTCGCAAGATTATTTTAATGGCTTACTTAATCGAAGCTGATACTAGCTTAATTTGTTTCTTTCTTGGGTGAGAGAATAAAAAAATATGAACAAGACTTACCCAGAAAAGATATCAAGGAAAACAATGCATTGGCAAGCCAGAGAAAGAATAAGAAACAACATTTCAGCAACTGCTTCTCCCATTTCTTTGGTACAATTAATTAATCATGGTATTTAAAGAATAGATGCACTCAAGATGGCTAAATATCATCTGGGCTTTTTGCTCTGTGCTGCTGCTGGTGGAGGTGGTGGTGGTGGGAGGGGGGTATACAAGGATTTGAGCTGCCTGCTAATAAGCTTGCTGTTATGTAGAGCTAATTGGAGTTCCAGGTCATCAGACCACCATTGCTGCAACCCATGAGCCTCAAGGAATTTTTGTTTGCCCTTGGACATCACAAACAGCTTTGCTGCAACATTCCCACTAGCAGGATCTGCATTCTCCTTGCCAGAAGCTTCACCATTGCTGGGTTGGGCGTTTGTTGTGACAGCAGGATCGGAATAATAGCAGCAGATGTAGTCACTGTTGTTCACATACAGATGTGGAACCCATTTCTTGGGATCTCTCCATGCCTTGAGTACTCTACTACCAGCATTCTTTTCTGGTTCTCCTCCATTAGTTTGAGCCTCACCACTTGAAGGAAGCATTGATTTGAATCTCCTCCAGACAAACCCAGCTTTCTCTCCAAGGTTTCTCAAACTCATAGCCAGTGAAACAGATGGTGGATTGAACAGATGAGTCTCTACAAACACTCCTTGTTTAGCTAATGCTTTACCCACTTGGAGAGCAAAGCCAGCTCCTAAAGAATGACCAGCAATGCATACATTGCAGCTACCAAATCTGTCAACTGCCATTTTCATTGCCTCCAGAGCTACACCAAATCTAACAGACCCCTTCAAGCTTTCCCAGGCAAGAAAGCGAAGATCATCTTCTAAATCTCTTCTAATTGTCAAGCTCTTCAGCAATGTTCCTCTGAGTGCTAGGACAGCCCTCGGTGCACCACTGGGTCTCATCAATACAAAGTCTGATAGAGCTGCAGATCGATCCCATTCCAGTAGGGCTCCAAAGATGGACCCATCCCTTTCATCTATTAATGTTTGGGCCAGCTTGTACTTGAAGGGTTTCCACCAGTTGGGAGCAAGGCCATTCTCTTCTGTTTTATTCTCCTGCCTGTCAAGTTCGAGCAAATAAACTGCTTGTATGAAGCAGGCTATGACTGTTCTTCTGTAGTTGCTATCCTTCCTGCAAGCTCAGAGGAATGGAACTATATCAGCAAAGGACGAAGATGTGGTTTCTTTTAGACATTAGAAAGAAAAGAATAAATATTGTGGATATGAGAATTTACCATTGTTTCATTGAATAATTAAGCCATCTTCACAACAAAAAGGGAAACAGAGTATCTCTTGGTTGCACCAAACAATTCAGGTACCAGATTTAATCAGTAATAATTTAGGAACACTAACGGTCCCTATTGGTCCCATGTAGGAGATCAATCGAATTGGGTAATCAAAAACAGAACCCATTTTACTGTTTGGGATAGTATGGAAGAACATGGATAATTACAAACAAACAATTCCTTCTATGAAGGTTCTCCAAGAGAACAGCAGAATTCATCCATAAAAGGCTCAGGTACCAGTGTTTTGTTATATTTTTCTGTTTATGTGGGTGTGTCTGTGTCAAATCGAATCGTAAAAGTTAAAACCCTTAAATTAATAGTTTTTTTCCTTTTTTTTTGCAGATTTTAAAACCTAGGACATCAAATGACATCAGAGTCCAAACAGTAGAGTTTCAGAATCCAAACCAAATAAGATTCGATTGTCCACATTCCACAACCATATGAAGCGAGAGATAGACAATCCATACTTTCAGTTACAGGGCTAAATTAGTTCATAGTTTTTGTTTAATTTATTCCTTATTGTGCATTACTTTGTACGTTTAAGCGAAAACGGAAATAGTAGGAATTCGATGAAGTTGACGGTATATTAAATGCACCATAAAGTATCTTAACTCTGAAAGTCTAGGAAAAACTTTGAAAGAAGAAAGAAAAAGATGATGATGGGTTTTACATTACCAGCTAGAATTGATCAGATCTCGCCAATTCGGAGAAGAAACGTTACGAGGCCCTGAAACATGGAACGCGTATGGGTGAGCCTCCTCACTCTCTTGCATTATCTCCTCTGCAGAGCGCTTCGCCATGAAACCACCTCTACTTCTTCCCTTCTAATTGGCCTCTTTGCATGTTATCACAGAAAAACCAGACGAGAGAGAGAGAGAGAGAGAGAGAGGTAACGGTCGAGAATGGTGGGGAAAGAAAAGAGAAAAGGGAAGACAGAGCAGAGTGAGTCTAGATTCGGTGCCAACTTAGCTTTAATTAATTGAAATAATAATCTGAAAAAGATTGGAAAATGTTACGGGTCAGCGGGTCTGTCGCTTCCAACGGTCATATTTCCATGAGTTGGACTCTTCCTGTTACCTGAGAATTGTTTTCAAAAGACAAAAGATTCCCTATGAATGACCCCAATGACACAAGTGGGATTATTACTTGAGAGTAGAGAAGAAGAAAATGAGGTTAATATGGTCATTTGATTTCATTGTAGTTGTCAGTTTTATGTTCAAATGAACAAAATATCATGACATTTATTAATTACTAATATTTGCCCATGTATTTCTAAGATATTTACGATAAGACCCCTCGTCCGTGTGGAACTGGATACCATACCACCGACTCACAGTCAGTCGCTTTTCTTAAGCGCGTCGTGTGCAGTGCAAGTGGGACTCCTTGTAGTTGACCAAGTGGCCAGTGGGACTCCGAGATGTGAACTCGAATGGCTATGGCTGACCGGAAAAGAAAAGTCCAGCTGACACTGGAGAGTTGCTGAGCCGCTTCCGCTCCCGTCCCGTTCCTAACCAACGCAGCTTCAAGCCTTCAAAGTTCAAAGTTACAAACGTTTATAGGGATGGTAGTGGAGCGGTCTAATTTAGGCTGTCAATGGGTCTGGTTTATACCTGTTATTGGGCCGGGCCGGGCTTTGTATATACATCAACACAATACATTCAGTCCCAAGCCCAAGCCCGGCCCGACTGTTAGGCCTAAGTCTTGAGCCCGAGCCCAAGCCCAGTCCTCATATAAAATTTGAAGCCTGGGCTTGATCCCGAGCCTAACCAGAAATTTGAAAACAGAAATTTTTTTCTTTTTTTTATTCAATAAAAAGTTTTATTTATATTAAAAACCTTCGAAACTCAAAAATAATAACATTTCATTATTACTTGAAAAAAAGAGAAGAAGAACAAAGAAAAAATATTGTATATATTTTTTATTAAATAAAATATATTATTATTATTTAATATATAGTATCAAGTCGGGCCCAGTACTTTAGGCTCAAGCCTGAGCCCAAGCCCATGGGCCTAAAATTATGATCAAACCCGACTTAATAACGGGCCAGGCTGTGCCAGTCCGTTGAATTACCCGACCCATGAACAAGTCTAGTCTGGTCCAACCCCAACTGATTGGGTCGATTCTGATTCTATGATGATAATTTGGTTCGACCATTGTCTCAATTATTATTAGTTTGGAACTGGTTTTATCTAGTCTCAAATTGATTCAGATTCAACTCAAGTCATATATATAATTATATATTAATATATTAAATGTATAACATTTTTAACAAGTTTATTATAATCGGATTCATCGGGTCAAACTCAATTGTACTGAGAATCAATTGGTTTGGTTCTGGGTTAAAAATTACATATCCTTTAAGTTTTGGTTTGATTTGGGTTCCTTAATATTTATTGAGTTGATTCCGATTCTACTCAAACTCGACCCGTTGATCAATGTTTTAAAAGGCTTAAGGCTTATGCCTTGCGATAAAGGCTTAAGCCTCACAGCATTGACGTAAGGTTTGAGCCCTTGTCAAAATGAGGTGTAAGCCTCAAGCTCTAAGGCGTGATGTATATATTGAGGCATAAAATGGCATAAACCTCAAGTATGGATGATTATTCAGTTATTTAATGCAAGAAAAAACTATATTTTATGCATCTTTATAATTTAATATATGGAAGAAACACTTAAATAATTATGGACCAAATAAATAATAAGAGTAAATGAAAAACCAATACGGGAAATCGAGTGCTATTAGTTTCTCTTTAGGCTGCATTTAGAAATGATGCAAATATGTAGAGTGTAAAATGGTCCATATAAATTGCAAAGTTGGGTTAGTTTTGCATGGACAAATTTACCTTCTTACCAAACAAACATTTAGCTATAATGGATGCAAACACTAATTCCAATAAAGGATATGCCTTTTTTATTAAAAGCCCACTTGAATGCAAATTTAATTCTTTTTTATTGATGTACTTTTACATCTTATGATCAATGTAAATATGCATTGGAAAATGTGTTTTTATTAATGTTGCCAAACACAAGCAAAAGTGAATGGGAGTGCAAATTAGGGCTGTTCATAAGAAGGCCCAACCCGACCCAACCCGAGTCGACCGGGTTTTCATCAGCACCGGTCGGTTTTCTTATTTGAAAACCAAAACTGACCTGAACCAAACCGAACCAATTAGTTTTCTAGTTCAGTAGTTCCTAGTTTCCTACTTAACTAGTCTTCTACTAGAACTAGAACAACCCTATCTTCTAGTTCTTACTTAACTAAATTGTATCTATCCTAATTTCTCTAGTCTTTTACACCAAATAGGCAACCAATTAGGCAATTACAATTAGAATTAGGTGTCCTAGTTCTAGGCTTCTCTATCATTTTTGTACAGGAGCAAAACCGAAACCGACCCAACCCGACTCAAACCGACTAGGTCGGTTTTGCCTATCAATGGGTCGGTTTCGGTTTCCACCTCATGTAACTCGATCAGGTTGGGTCGGTTGGGAAAACCCCTATAAACCGACCCAACCCGACCCGTGAACAACCCTAGTGCAAATTACCCTGAATTGGGATTTACACTCCATTTGCATCGTTTCCAAATGCAACCTTAGTATTTTAGGAGAGTTCAATGCAAAATGGAATAATTAAATTCTTAGTTTCTCTTGGATATATCAAGTGAGATTTTTTCCTAATTATTCTAAATATAGCATCTCCAAATTTGTTATTTTTTTCATTCTTTTCTGTAGGCTCCATTTGGAAGGAGTACAAATACAAATATGTAGAGTGCAAAACCTTATATTTTGTATTATTTTATATGTATTTGTACTGTACATATTTGTATTTGTACTCTTCCAAAGCCTAAGGCTTGGAAGGAGTACAAATACAAATATATAGAGTGCAAAACCTTGTTTTTTATATTATTTTGTATGTATTTGCACCGTACATTTGTGTATTTGTACTCTTTCCAAATTGAGCCTAATGGATTTATTTTTTTAATGATTTTTTTTTCAAAGATCAAATTAGCTAAACTGTTTTCTTTCTTCTAAACCATTGAATGGCTATAAATCTAATATCCAATCATATGGATGATTCTTCATGTGTTTCTTTTCTTCTAAATTGATTACTTGGATTATTTGAGAATAGAGGTGTAAAGTGGGTCGTGTCGGGCATACATGGCACGGCTCGTGGGCGGTCACAGGCCGTGCCGCCCTCCTCGGTGAAAATTTGGGGGTCAGCCCGGCAAGGCCCACGACCCAGGCCCGCGTGGACCTGTGTGGGCCCATGCCGTGCCGCGGGCCAAGCCTTTGCCCAAGTCGGGCCAAAACTATTTTTGCCTATTTATTTAAAAAAATTGAAAAAAACTTAAAATTTTAATTTTATATGAATTTTGATGTACACAATTGCTTATATATACAATAATTAAATAAATTATTATAATAAAATTGAAAAAAAATATTTATTTTAGTAATATGCTATATACTATATATTATTATATAATTATAATTTATATAATATATAATATTATATATATATATATATATATATATATATATATATATATATNATATATATATATATATATATATTTGAAAATGATGCAAATATGCAGTGTAAAATGACCCGTGGACTTCAAACCCTAGGCCCAGCATGGCACGGACCATCATGCCAGGCCTGGCACGGCCTGTGGGCTGTCGTGCCGTATTGGTCCAAAATCGTGCCGAGCCACGGCCCGACCCAATTTACACCTATATTTGAGAACTTTGCATTTTGAAACATGAAATGTGAAATGTTTATAATTGTTAATTGATTAGTCATTTTTTATTTAATGCTTAAATATTAAACCTTTTTTTTGATGCCAACTCTTCTTTTTTTTTTGGGTTTCTTCGGTTAGCTCCCCCTTAGAAATCGAAATTTCAATTGGGGACATACAAAAATCGAAACCCATGCCAACCCCAACCAACAAGTTCGATATTTGTTTCATCTCCTCCCCCCCGGTCAGCGAAAGTTTAAGTATTATACCTGTTATACCCCTCTACATCTTCCCCATTTCAAAGCTACAACGTCTTCCCCATTTCAAAATTTCTCGAAGCCGTTTCATCACCGGAGCTTCATCTCTCACCACGGAAACTTCCCAATTTCAAAATTTCTCAGAGTCGTTTCATCATCGGAGCTTCTTCTCTCATCACTAAAGCTTCCCCATCTCAGAGTTGTTTCATCAGTGGAGCTTCATCTCTACCTGTGTTCCCCATTTCAAAATTTCTTAGAGGTTCATCTCTACCTATGTTTGTTGTTTCATCACTAGAGCTTCATCTCTACATGTGTTCATCGTTTCATCACCAGAGCTTCATCTCTACCTATGTTCACCATTTCATCACTGGAATCGCTCCAAAGAAAGGTCCTCTCTTCCAACGGTCTTTCTTATTTCGGATGTTGAAACATTCTCAGATCCCCCTGTGTTCACCGGTCATTGGCCATGGACGACACTCAACGTTCACCATTCGGAGGAAGCTGGATCGTCAGTTTACTGTTCACCATCCGTCGGAGGCACCCTGCATTAACCATTGAAAGGACACTTAAAGCCGGTTTTAGAGCCCATTGGAAGGTTTCTCAGGCCCTTGTGTTCAATCGCCGTGGAGGTGGTACCCTGTTTTTACAGCTCACTCTAGTTGGACGCCTCCTGTCTTTCTAGTTCATTCCGGTGGTTTAGCATTCCGTTGGCCACCCGTACATTTGTTGATGCTACTTGAGCACAGGCAATTTACTTTGTTACATTTTTTTTTCTTAGTTCATTGTCGTAAGGACCTCTATAAATGAATATTTGAATGCTGCTTAGTTTAGTGCTAATGAAAATGAAGTGTTTAATGTAGATTAAGATATGAATGTCATAATCGTGGGTTATTGAACATTTATAGGTATGAATAACCAACGGAGTGTTGGGAATCAATCTTAGAGTAGTTTGTAGTATGATATTAAATATTTCT